CTGTGTGACACAGAGTGTTAGACTGGAGGGGTCACTGGCCTGATCCAAGATGGCTTCTCTTATGTTCTTATGTCTGGGGTAGCTCTGTCTTCTTTGTCCTGCTGCTGGACCTCCTGATGGCACCCAGGTCTTGACCAGTGTGTGACACAGAGTGTTGGGCTGGAGGGGCCCCTGGCCTGATCCAACATGGCTTTCTCTTGATGTTCAGGTATTTCCCAACCCAGAGCGGGCCACCCAACTCCAGAGTAGCAGCTCATTGGCCTGGAACCCTCCCAGGGAGTGAGAGGGGCTAGTCCTTCCCTGAAGCAGAAAAACTCACCACAAAATCGGGGTCTGTGTCCCAATCATCTCCTTCCGCCTCCACCTTCACGGACACGTTGTGGCCCACTGCGGCCTTCCACATCTAGAGCGGGTGGGAACAGAAAGGGCAGAGAGTCAAGCCAAGGTTCTCCCCACCCCCCATGTGACAATCTGGGGCCTTTTCCTGAATGCTCACAGAAAGAGTGCAAAGCTAAAGCTGAACGGCTGGGCGTCAAGCACCAGCTGCTGATCAAAACAGCCAGCTAACTGGTGCTTTTGTACAATGGGATTCTGGATCGAGAGGAGAGGCTGGGGATGCCAGCCTCCAGGTGGGACCTGGGAATTCCTGGACAACCAGGGGTAATTTCCTGCAGGAGCACACAGGAGCGGAGCTCCGGCAGTAAGGAGCCCAGGGGGCAGGCACATGCAACAAGCCCCATCCCCTGCTCCCAGCAGCCCTTAGTCAGAGCAAGAAGCAGCCAGGTAAGTTGCAGAGGGGGCCTCCCCGCCCGCCTTCAGGTTCAAGTTCTCCCTCCTCTGTGAGGGCAAATCTGCACGTTCCCCCCGCCCCATAGCTAGCAATCCAAAACAGTCCAGTGGCACCTTTAAGACCAAGTTTTATTCAGGTACAAGCTCTCCCTCCTCTGCGAGGACAGATCTGTGCGTTCCCCCCCCCCCAATAGCGAGCAATCCAAAACAGTCCAGTGGCACCTTTAAGACCAAGTCTTATTCAGGTACAAGCTCTCCCTCCTTTGCGAGGACAGATCTGCACGTTCCCCCCCCCCCCTCCAATAACTAGCAATCCAAAACAGTCCAGTGGAGCCTGAGCGGTGGGCGTTGCCTTCTGACACACTTCCGGCGATGTCAGGGGGTGTGGCACATGCAAATAAGTTATGCGAAGGAGTCATGCTAATGAGCTCCTGCACCTCTTTTTCTACAAAGTGACCCCCGCCTGGAACTATTGCTATTTATATTGTTTTATTTGTTGTTATTTTATGCAAGCCGCCCCAAGCGAATGAATAAATTAGATAAACTAAACTATAGCTCATCTCCAGACAACAGAGACCAGTTCCCCTCCAGAAGACGGCTGCTTTGGAGGGTGGATTCTATGGCACTGCACCTGGGGCTGCTAGCTCCAAGTTGGGGAACACCTGGGAATTTGGGAGTTGGGGCCTGGAGATGGCGGGGTTTGGGAAAGGGTGGGACCTCGGCAGGGTAGAACGCCGTAGAGTCCTCCTTCCAAAGCGGTCCTTTCCTCCAGGGGAACTGGTCTTGTCGAACGGAGGACAGTTGTAGGCTAGGTGGCCCTCTGACAGCCATGCCGATTCTGTGAACTTGGGCAGTTCACGAGAAGGGAGGGTGGGAAGGGTTGCCTCCGTGCTCAGTTCTCGTGGCCCTTTCTGACACGCCCAGGGAAATGCCGATTGCCAGGGCTTTTTTTGTAGAAAAAGCCCAGCAGGAACTAATTAGCATAATCAGGGGTCATTTCGTAGAAAAAGAGGTGCGGGAGCTCATTAGCATAACTCATTAGCATAACTTCTTTGCATATGCCACACCCTCTGACATCACCGGAAGTGTGTCAGAAGGCAACACCCACCGCTGAGGCTCCACTGGACTGTTTTGGATGGCTAGCTATTGGGGGGGGGGACGTGCAGATCTGTCCCCCGCCCCCCTGGTCCAAAATAGTCCAGTGGCACCTTTAAGACCAAGTTTTACTCAGGTACAAGCTCTCCCTCCCTTCTTCTCCTCCTCCTCCTGAATCAGGCCCTCGGGCCTTTGGTCTAGTCTGGCTGGCAGTGACTCTCTGGGGCCTTCTGCAGAGAATTTGCCTTCTCCTGCCTCTCAGGTCAAGGCCCTACCTGCAACGCATGTGCTCTCCCCCCCCCCCTGCTGCTGCACTGTGGCCCTGGAGGAGCGGATAGCGTTTATCCAGCAAACCTCTGCCTAGTGAACTGTTAAGCAGGAACGGGGCTCACTCAGTCTGACTGTTAGGGCTGCCAACTTCAGGTTGGGAAAGACCTGGAGATTGAGGGGGCGGAGCCTGGTGAAGGTGGCGTTTGGAGAGAGGAGGGCCCTCATTGGTATATAGTGCTATGGAGCCCGCCTCCAAAGCAGCCA